AATTTCCATTCGCTGTTTCTGGCGAAAGTTCTGGCTGTTTGTCCGATATAAAATGCGTCACAGTTATCACAATTAAGCCTGCACACTCCTGAATTCTTGTATTTATTCTCTCCAGTGGATTTATTTGCATTTCCCAATAATCTCTGTAAATTGTTCTCTGATTTAAAAGATACGGTGACATTTTGTTTTTTGAATGTTTTCCCGATAATATGCTCTGTTTTCTTTGAGTATCTAACAGGCTTTATATCTCTTTATATCGGACAAACAGGCAGAACTTTTGATTTAAGATTTAAAGAACACGTCAAAGAAGTAGTAAATAATGGGACAGGAACAGGAGCAAAACAGAGTACAAAGTCAAAATATGCGGAACACTTAAATATAGAGGGGCATAAATACACAAATATAAGCAATAATTTAGAAATTATAGCAAAGGTAAAAAAGGGACAGCGGCTAGACAGATTAGAAGAAATGAATATATACAAGGGTTTTAAGCAAAATCAAAACTATTAAATGAAAAAATACATTCTGATTCGAATCCAGTGTATGACACCATTATTAGGCTGATGGACAACAAAAGAATGATAACCAGCTGAAGATGTCGTCATGGTCCAAAGTTCAGTGTAGGATACCGACCGACCAAGTCAGTGTAGCCGCAAACCTGAGCCCGTCCAGCCGTGCACACGGTGTTATAATCACAGTATTTCTTTATCTAAATGTTTCGTACGTGTCGTGTATGTGTGATAAATGTAAAACGTGTTTGGACTATTTATTTAATATATCGACGCTGTTGCTACAAAGCAACATAGAAACAAATTCAACCTAGTGACAGTGGAGCTGAGGATGACCTGATGGTTGAAACGCGTACTCCACAGCAATTTATGGATTGATGACGTAAGTTATTTAATTATTTGATAACTCAATCCGTTGTGCTACAATCTCAATATTATGACTACGGTAATAGCTTATTCCCTATATGAAAAATTTGCTAAAAGTTGTTTTTATTAGATTAATTTGCTTTATACAGCTAATAACTTAGTTGAGTTAGGTATTTAATAAAAACCCCAATGGAAAGATGAGTCACAGTTTACAAAGAATGTTTGACATAAGTAAACACTGATGAGTTTTTATTTAGCTCTTTTACTACTACTTTCTACTTCTTTTTATTTAAGTACGGGTTGTGATCCAAGTCATAATTACATGTTTTGGGAAAATCATGCTGTAATCAACTTCTTTCAAAATAATATCTACATAGGTCATTATGGTCGGACCCTTTTGCAATAATAACTTCTTTCTAGGAAATTTTCGATGAGTGTAGGTTTCCTTGATTTATCAAATTTATATATTCAGAATTGTCACATGTTAGGTAGCTATCTATGGTTCTGAGGTAAGAATTTGTTTCTAAATCTGTGGCAAACAATTATTGTTATATACTTCAACCCTTCTTCTCATATAATATTTAATCCTTTTTTATTTTTTTCACTTCCAAATGCACCTAGGCTTAGCTACTTTACATGAAACCAATGAAATTGTTGTTTGATTCTTCACAAACTAAATGTTTTCCCAGTCCATAAGTAAGTACCGTTATTATGTATGCTTTAATATAAATAAATACACCCGTGACAGCGGATCCACAATTTAAACTATTGAACTAATGGTATTTATACCTATTCTAAACTAATCCAATTCAACAGAATTAGACAATTATTGTCTGTCAACATTAACAGTTAACTAATAGACAACATCAACAATTTGTTGGATCAAATTTACAGGAAATAGAATACCCACATGACTTCTAACCAAAAAGACGTGGCCCATACAACAGTTTTTTCTTTCCTAAGCCAGTGGCATTTTTACTAGAAGTCAAAGTGAGTACAAAGCTATTAAGGGAAAGTGGTGGAAACCCATATTAAATGTTTAGTGGATGTGCCAGGAATTGAACCCGTCCCTTCCGCACTGAAGTCCGAGACGCTAACCCCTAGGCTAGCAACACACTCAAATGCCATTCAAATTTTTACTTAAATGTAATCAATGTCATAAGATGGATGTACAACTAACCAGAAATTGATATAATAATCTCTTTAAATGCCTTACTGTTTACAGTATAACTTCAATCATCCAGAATAATTGGAAACGTACCCCATTGAGATAATCAAATGTTTGTTTGGTTGTATGTTTACCGGAATTCGGATAATTTTTTAGAAAATGGCCCAGTTATGCCGAGCTTTTACTATTGCGATTACAGAACCTTGCCAATGCAAAGATTTTGATGATATAATTGTAATAACTGAGACGGGTGGCGTTGTCCTCTAATCCAGCTACTAGGAGGTTACGAATTGTGGATACAGTCTAACCTTGGTATAACGAACCTCGATATAACGAATTCCTTGATATAACGAATTTTTTTTAATCCCCTAGAACTCTCCATAAGACACAATGTATATTTTACCTCTACATAACGAACAAACCATAACAACGACCTTGATTTAACGAATTTTTCGTGATTTCGGCTAAAATAAGACACCTCAATATAACGAATTTATCATTGTCAGAACCTCTACATTGCGAATTTAACCTCTGCATAACGAATTGTCTACGTCTTTCCCTCGATATAACAAATCCCCCACCCAATTATTGTTTTGGGAAAATCTGTTTCTTTATCAAATTAAATGGAAAGGCCACGTCATCACTTGCGCTAACATTCGTCTGCTCCGTTTTACATCCTTGCGAATGAAGTCAGTTCTCAGTTGCAACATAGCGCGCGCAGCGACGCAGACAAAGGGAGGACTTATGACGACGTAATGTGTAGTAAGCTGTGATTGGGCGATATGGGATAACTATGGTGAATTGTAGGCCTACAATTTTTGGATAAAGAGAAACCTAAGAAAGAATATAAAAACAAAACCAAAGAGAAAGAATAGCAACATCGTTATTTTAACATTCCTTTTACGAGTGTTTTTATTTACCTTAAGTTGGCTATGATTACCTATACACTTTTATAATGACTTATCCAATAATTTATTGTTTTCAATACGATTTGTTTCAACTAGCAACACCAATGCTATAGTTATTGATTATTATTGACATTCCTCTGTTGTGATAAATCAGTACTGTACTGAAAGTAGCCTACCGGCCTATCGCGAGCAGTAGCTTACAAAACTTTCTACTGTTTTGTTTTGTTCTTAACATGGTTTATGACTACGCAATACAGGGTTTGGCTAGGTTTTAGGAGGGTAAGAACAAGCTGTGATTTTAAACTTACAGCTTTTAACCTGTACCACCAAGGTCAATGCATTGTCATGATTGCGCAATATTCAAGATCCCTCCCCTTTATTAAGCCGGATAATTTAGGTTCTGTAAAGTATTGTAGCCTATGCTACTTTAATTGTATTTTAATGAGGTCGAATCCCAACCATTATTGACCGACGCTGGTTCTGAACCTCGACTTAGCGAAATTCCTGCAAACCTAACCTCTATATAACGAACCTCGTTTTAACGAAATCCTTGATATTACGAATATTCAGTTCGGTCCCTTCAGATTCGTTATACTGAGGTTGGACTGTATTTATAGGCATGCACTGTGGATGCGATACTCCCTGGTGTGGATTAACGTCCTCATGAGTGAGTACTACGACTATCCGCAGTACTATCCTGAAAATTAGACCAATTCGTATATACCAAGGCAAAAATGTGGTTCGGATTCCACTATAAACTGTAGGTCCCTTGGTCCCTTAGTTGCCATTAGCTGTATGGGCTATTAATTAACAGCTGTTTCTAAGGAATAAGTCGGCCTCAGTCACTAACAAGACCATAAGATCGCGCCACTCATCCTACACTCATCTCCATTCATACTTGGCTTAAAATACCTACTTTGTATGGTCACCATTTCATTGAAAAGTATTTAAAAAAAAGTATTTCGCGATAGAAAAATTTACGCTTTTGTTGCGATTGCTAAGTACGATTATGATTTTCTGCGATCACTGTAGCTGAAGATGATGTCCACAAGACTGAGGGAGATATTCGTCAGGAGATAGTCGTTATCGCTGAAAATAATTATCACCGGGTTAAGTTTCCATGACCGCGGGAGACGATCCACAAGTCTATTCAGAAAGTCAGGAACGTTTCGTTCTGACGCCACTAGGGGCGCTGATCTTGTACATTTTGGTGCGTGCATGTACAGTCGGCAACTCAGTCAGCGTCCAGCCGTGACAACAGGAACATCCTTGTTCTGCCTTTTTTTTCACAATTTTAACTTATGTTGATGTTTATGTTGGATAAAAACCTAAAACCAATAGCTATTTATTACCAAGTTTGTGAAGTTTATGGAAACAATGTAATGAAGTAAATTTCCGTGCGAAAATGGTGCATTTAGTTTAAAAATGGCCGAACTAACGTCCATGAGCTATGATGAAACGAAGGGCGGACGCCCGAGCATTGTGAGTCATGGAACTGGTCACCTAAGTTGATGATAAGGTTTGCAAAACCTGCCGATTCACGATAACGGAGTTTTCGCTTTGTTTCCCTCAAGTTTCACAGACTTTCTTGTTCAAAATTGTCACACATCAAAGCGAAAGCTCCATTATCGTGAATCAGATGTTTGAACCCATGGAGAGACTACACCTTCACTCCTAACGTCTGGACCATACACCGCACACAATTCAGTGAATTTTTGCTGCTGTGTGATTCTTCAACTACAGACATCTGATTAAACACCAAGCACTTCACACTTGGTGGAATAATCTATGGTGGCGCTCATGTTTTTAGGTTATAACAACAGAACGCGCGATCGTACAATGCTCTCTCTAGCACAGCTAGAAGCGTACTGAACGGCTGCGCATCCCGATATGGGAATGGCGGCGCTAACTCCACTACTTAGCGCGTCACACTCAGGAGGCAGTTACTTTGTGGATGACTTTGTAATTATGTTCTTTTAAATTAATTTTGCTTTGAATAGTTAGATTTAATCTGGCTGAGTATAATAGTCCTTAACAGTCTTAATATAGTTTGTGAACCACCCTTTTCTGACCAACTTGATCAATGAAGTTGAGGTAGATTGTATGAACTATCTGACCAATTTGGAAGTTGAAAATCTGGACGACTCTATTTGTGGACCCAGGTAAGTTTGGATAGAAATATCACACATTTACAGTAATGCAACATATATTAAGAGTGATTTCCTTTATCCTAGCCTATTTATCCTTATAGGACTAGTATTACATAACTAACAAATCAAAATTTTACTCATTTACAAAATGCAAGCTAGAAATTAACGATTTTAGTACCAAAATGTATTGTGTTCCTAAAATATTTCTATGCGACAGAGAGAGAGAGAGAGCGCTATATTTTGCATTTACTGACCTTGTCACATAAATATCATTTGATTTCACGCCTTATGGTATAGTAGTCTTACAGAAAAGCTAGCCCAGCTATCCAGCATATCGCACCATCTTGCAGAATTTAATGTGTGTTGTGTAAGTGTTAAAAGAGCCGAACAACCCTGTTCGCTTTATCTCCTCAATAACGTCAATCATTGATTGCTTTTTCTGAAGCTGTACTGACAAAAGGATAGGTCCCCTGCAGGGACCAAGGCTGAACTAAGTTGGGAACGTATTAGCTTCTTGAGGACTATCCCATATCCCACATGCATAGAGGTCATTAAGAGGACGAAAGGTCTGGGTCTCCCTTCCTTAAAAACACAAGCCCAAGGGAAATACCCCCTTGGCCAGACAGGCATTGCATGTGCTCAATAGGATCAGGAGAACGATCGATAGAACCTGTTTGAGGGCCTTGTCGAGTATCCCATCAGGTGCAGGAGCTTTGTTATTCTACCAAGAAAGAATGGCTATCTCCAACTCCTCAAGCCAGAAGAGTTGTACATCTTCCTTTCGATTTCTTGCAGTGTGCGCGCATTTGAGCTGGAAATAGGGACTTGGTGGCTATCCTCTCATTACGGAAGGTAAATAGCGGGTGCTGATTTTTTGAGTTACAAGTATACTCAGGTTCCACAGATTGGATTCAACAATGTCCCTTACTTCCTCCCAGCAACTGCGTTTGCTTTGGTTGATGGCTCAGCGAAGAGACTTTCTCACCACCTTGTAGGTCTCTTACTTACGATATCTGTCCGTGGGTTCTCTGGTCCTCTTAGCTACTCTAGCTCTCAAGGCAGCCCAGTGCTATTGCGCATTACCTGCAGTCGCCTATCGCTCCAGGGTCTTTTGCAGGTGACTCATTGCAAGGTTAGACAATCAGCCCCATCAAAGATGTAACTGACGCCGGATGCAGCAGGCACCACCAGCACTCCCCGTAGTATGGCTCAGTTAAATTTGGTCGTCCCGTTTTTTTTTTGTGTTCCACCAAACGATACTTGCTGAGACCTGTCTCTAGTAACCATCTAGGACATTAAAAATGATGTACTGGTGATCACTGGCCGTCTAATCCTCAAGGACTCTTCAGATTCTGATCCTGAGCAAAAGGGATTGATTGAATTGGTGTGGACATAGTTGCAGTGCAAGTCAGCCCTAAGTGGGCTTTTTGCGTACCCCATTTGGTGCCTCGGCAAATCTGAGTTTCTTCATGAACCGCAGCATCCTGTTTAAGAGCTTTTCTTGAGTAAGGTTGGGAAGGATGGTTCCAAGAGTGCTTTCATTACCTCATTAAGAGCTGTGTATATAGCTGTCTTCTAACTTTCTAAGTAATTTTTATTGTGGGCAAATTGGCTCGAGATATTTTTTTGTGCTTGGATGTTGGTCTATATTCTTGGCTTTTAAAATAAAATTGAAACAACAATCTTTTGTAGCAGATTGTGACGGTGCAATTTCGTCACTGGGCACTCTGTCGGCCTCGGATAGCTACTCTCGAAAGAGATTGTCTAGGGTTAATAACTATAGTTATAAATTTAAATATTTAGTCTCAGTTATTTATTTATTTATACACAATTTACAATAGCTACAGGTATAAACCCAAAACAGCTATAATGAAAAATAATACAATATTAATACATAAAGTGAAGAACAAAAACAAAATACAAAAAGTGCACATAAATAGACAATACAAAACCAGTGATGATAATAGTAAAAAAGAGTGAATACAAGTTAATAATAATGGACAACGTTGTTGAAAATTTCACTTATTTTGGCTGCAAATCTAAAGGGATGGATTACATTACGTAAGCAAAGCGTTTATCTTAAATTTAAACTTCTTAATAGTGTCAGAAAAAACATCTATTTTACTATTGTGGACATTTAATAAACGTAAGCCTGTAAAAAGTGAAAAAACTGTAAAATTGAACAGTGTTACAACGAGGGATATAAAATAAAATTGACGACCTTGAATTATTACGAGGAACATAAAAATGTTATGTAAAAAAATATGTTGAGTAAGATTGCACTCAAGAAAAACAAACTATCAACTTTGTTATTTAGGATTTTATACAGAAAAAGCAGTTAATGCTAAAACTTCCCTTCTTAATGTAAGGCTTTGGAAATCAAACAATCCTCTCAATGAATCAGTTGACATATGCCAGTCACATCTCTGATTATACCTTTTTAAAAACAAGTATCGTAGAAACTTATTTTGGAGAATTTATATTGCATTTTTGTGGTATGAGTTGAAAGGAAACCAAACTAAAACACAATATTCCAGCTTACTTCTAACAAATGAGTAAAACAATCTTATAACGGGGTCAGTAGTTCTGAAATTCTTGGTATTTCTAATTATAAAACCTAACATTCTATACGACTGATTAATAATCAATTCAACGTGTTTATCAAATCTTAGGTACGAGTCAAAAGTAACTCCTAAATCCTTAATTTGGTCAACTCTTTTAAGTTTAAAATCATTTACTGAATATGGAAAAGGGTTGAATAACTTTTTTCTTGTAAAGCTCATCGTAACACATTTTTTAATATTTAATTCCAGGTGGTTATCCAGACACCACATTGAAAGAAGATTAAGAGATGCTTGTAACATATGCTCATCATTCCCTCCTCTAATGGCTCTATACATCTTTAGATTGTCTGCATACAAAAGACTCTTACAGTCAGTTAATATTTCAGGAAGATCATTAATAATGATCAAAAACAGGAGAGGACCCAAATTGGAGCCCTGGGGAACACCTGAGCTACATAAGTATGACTCAGACTTGACATTCTTAACTATTACATATTGAAATCTGTCTTTTAGATATGAAGCCACAAAGGAAACAAAGAGAGTAGAAAATCCGAAACTAGATAATTTAAAAAGTAATATTTCGTGGTTAACTTTGTCAAAGGCTTTAGAAAAATCTGTATAAATAACATCCACTCTGCCTCCCAAATCTAGTTCTGAGTTAATATCAAAGGAAAACTCCAATAAGTTTGTAGCAGTTGATCTCTGAGGGAGGAAACCATGCTGTTGAGAGGAGATCTGACTTTTTATACTGGTATAAATAAAGCGATAAATAAGAGTCTCAAAAACCTTTGCAAAGGAATTTATTATGGATATTGGACGATAATTCTCAATATGATCAATTTTACCTGATTTGTGTATTGGAACGACCTTGGCTTCTTTCCATTTTTGCGGGAAAACACAAATATAGTTGGTAAGCATCAGCTTTCAGTAAATTAAACATTCATCACAGCCCATTTATATTTAACAAAAGAACAAATTTAGAATGATTGGTTTTAATTCTTTGAGTGAAACACTGGTAAGAAATACCTAACTAAAACTATTAACTTCGCAAAAATAAAATCTTTACTTGTAAGTTTAACAGTGTTTCAACTCAACTTAGAACTAAATCACACTTTTTAAATTAAACACAATGATATAATCGATTTTAAGATATTTCGCGACTTCATGTTCATGGACTAGTTCGCCCTGGCCTAACGCCTAACGATAGAATATTATTCCACCCCGAGTTTGATTACCGGGCTGTTTCGCCCTCGCCTATAATTTTGTGATGTTAGGAGTCCAGGAGCTATTTTGCACCTAGCGTTTGAATATACCAGGGTTACTCCACCGCTGGTTCAATATACGGGCTATTCCGCCCTCGCCTAATGTCAGGCCTTACACTCCACTTCACTAGGGAAAGATGTGCCCAGCTACTCGCCAGGCGCTCGACTGACTGTATGTCAACACGACTGGTGTCTTGCGCCTTATTTATAGGTGTCGTGATGCTAGCAAAGGGTGTGGCCGCCCTGCAGCAATTACTTGTACCCTTTAGGACTACAGCCTGAATTCACCCATGATAATATTGTAAAAAGGTTAAAATATCTGAAACTGCCTTGTGGTTCCTCTGTTCCTATAGTGGACTATGCACGTTTCAATGCATTCGCATCATCATCAGGTCTAAAACTTGAAAAACTTAACCATTCTTGAATTGGTCGTGTCAAAGTTTACAAAAATTACACAAAACATTTAAACATTTAAAAACAGGGACAAAAACTGTAGGCCTACAAACATTGGTGTACACATGACGGGTGCCGAGTCTCGACTGGTTCAGGAGCTGAACTTTGTCCCCTGGCCGCCTTTATCACGGTCCTTGTCCAACTTTATGAGTGATTCAAATAAAATATTAGTTTGCAGAGTGTTTTTGTCATTTAATATGTCCTGGGGATTGTTTTTTTCGGCTTTATAAATTTCAAACTGTTCCAGAGCTGTCATGATCCTGCCTTTGTTGCAAATGTGCAATGGTTTTAAGTTTGTTTCCAAATGTTTATAGTTGTGGTTGTTTACTACCAGATGTTCGGCATAATTAGATTTTTGCACCTTGGTGGCTTGTGGAATGTGTTCTTTGAATCTTTTCTCTAAGGACCGCCCTGTTTGGCCTATGTAAAATTTACTGCAGTCGTAACAGGATAATTTATATACTCCGGTTATCTTGTTAACATCATCACCTGATCCTTTAGTGTTTATAAGCTTACGGTATCTAATTTGTTGGAGGGTCTTAAGGATACTATTTTTTCATGGTTTTCATTTCATTTTTTCTTTCTTTTTTTTCAATAAATGTATGTTTGTTTAATAACCTTATTTGTATATTATTCTTCTTTCTTAAAAAAAAAAATAAAACACCTATTAGTATGCTATTTTTTTTTCAGAATAAAATTCCACTTCAGCCCAAATCCATATTTTGACAACGATGTAATAACAAAAAAATACGACTTTAACAGTAAGTATGCAGTTGTTACGTTAAATAGTGTTTCATAAATTTCATAGCCTTCATTACCTAAGAAGTAGAGTTCAGGGAAGTAATGATGCTTCTTTTTCCCTTCAACCAAATCGACCTTCCCCTTTTCTCTATGAATTAACTTCTTGATCTATGAACAAGAACTTGCTCTATGAATTGCATGTTTTAAACATTGATTATTATATTTGTGACTATCCACTTTACTAAATTTTTGCCAAAATATTATTTAATACTCAAACGGGTAATTAATTGTTTACCTCCTACCCTTCTCCTCTTTATTGTAGTTTTTTAAATTGATAATTTCTGTGACTATCAACCTTAGTAATTTACATTATTTGTCCCAAAGCAGAATGATTTTTGGACAACTGACCTAAAACATTTATGAATCTTTCTTCAGGAACATTTGCTCTCGAATTGTTTAAGGATTTCTGAATTGTTCAAATGTAATTAATAAGATAGATCTGTTCTCATTTTCTTATAATCTTAATCTATCTTGTAAGTAGGCTTATTTTGTATTTTTGCTAAACTTACGTTTACTTATTACTTTAATAATCAATATATTTGAGTCATTTACTTGAGTAGTGAGTTGTAAGTTTTTACTTGTAGCTGAAGTGTTGCATGGCTTAAATTTTTGGTCATTCAACAATAAGGGTGTGCAGGCTGGACATTTACTTTCAGTCTGGCCCGGTCAAAAGTGTTGACCTTCGGGTATTGGGCCAAAATCAAGTCAAGTTGCTTTAGAAAGTATTAATTTTTGAATATACTAATAGTTACACTACATTCGGCTGGTAAAATTTTATTGTTTACCATCTTTTGCGATAACCTTGAAATCATGACCGTCCCCTGAGGTCACCACTAAATTGTGAGCTCCCTTGGTCACAGGAATATCTTAAACTTCTCCTGTGGTCACTAAAAAATTGTGAATGTCTCCTGCGATTGCGAACTAGTGAATCTCTCTTGTGATCGAGGAAAAAGCGTAAACATTTTCCAAGACTGCGGAACAAGCGTAACCCTATTTCATAGTCATGAAGATATTACCATCTTCACCTCCCGTTCTTAATGACATTTTGATCGTCCTCCCTGGTTACAGTGAAATTGTGAACATATCATGGGGTCACGGACACATCTTATCCTATCTACAAGGTGCGGACTGAAGCCTTAAAGCGCTTAATTCAGATTTCTCAAATTATTGCTCACCCAACAAAGTGTAAAATCATTCATTCTTTCCCAATTCTGACATGGAGACAAGACGTTCCCAGACAAGCTTGGACTCAATCACAGAGACATCGTCATTGTCTGACACGTTTACCACACCAAGGATAACATCAGTGTTTCCATTAACCGGATGCAGGAAAAAACAGAATTTTTGTTTCTAAGACCTGTTTCTTTATACCGATCTTCAGATAGATACACTATGATTGTTCAGGGAAAGCGGCTGGCTGAAGGGTCGACCCTACTCACACACACACGCAGGCCTCACACACACCCACGCAAGGGATTAGGACGGAGACCTGCCGTGTGAGTCATCACTGGCTAAAAGAAATTTAACTATCAATTTTTTTAAATTTTACCTTTGTTATCAAATCGGTTAATGCTTTTGACTTTAGCTCAAAATGTTAAGTAAAATGATACCGAACAATATATTTTTTGCTTGTAAAATGTAGAAGTTACAAATATTTTTTTCTACTATTTCTTTTTATAATAATTCCATATTTGGACTCATTTTTCATGGAATTAAACAACAAATTTACTAACACTAAGCATTTTACTGTGTATCTATCGAACTTAAATTGATTTGCGATTTTGCGAAATCATACAACATATGTTATATTTCTAGGTAGTGAAGGGGATCAGGGCTTTTAGGCAGTTAGGGTGATGGTGAGTGTGCGTGCGTGAGTCAGGTCACTCGCAGGTAGGGCCGAGCTCCAGCCGCTTTCAGTTAAAAATCAGACTATATTAGAAACTAACCACCAGCCACTGGTAGTTATAAATGAATTTTATGATTAAATAAATTGTATAAGCCCATTACACATTACTTATTTTATTCATTAATATCAAATTCTTTCTTCAATAACCAGATATTGTGTTTATTTAATGAAATTAAGTTTTTCTAAAAAAGGTGTCTATTATCCACAATATTATTTTCCTAAATCTAAATTTTCATTTTTAGCTTGGAGATCTACAAGTACTCCAATTCGGTGGAAGGAAGGGAAGAATATCATCAAAATGATAAAAGAAAGGCAAGAAAGAAAACAAGGCAAGAAGACATTCTTCACCTGGTTTGATGACTGCAGCAAGCGTGTCAATGATGAAATTGGAGAGGTTAGTTACACTGTTTAAATCCTCCTCCCCTGTTTATGATATGATTTTCCTTTGACTATAATTCCCTTAAATTCAAGTTAATGTTATTTTTAGTCAGACCATCAAAGCCAATTTAGTATCTTAGTCTTAGTTATTATTTTTGCTTTTGAATTTACTTTTTGTCTTTAATCCTGGAAATTGCAGATTGTTAGATTTTTGTCTTCTTAGTTTAGATTGAAGTGAATATTAATCGTAGCGTTGATATTTTTTAAAAACAGCTCTGTTATTATGTTTTATTCCTTGCAATCCCAAAAAATCAAATTCTAGAATCACAATGTAAAATATTTCATCTATTTTTGGACCACATTAAGGTTTTGGTAAGACATGGACAAAAATAGAGCTTATTTTAACCTGAAAATATGTTGGTTATACTGGTTGTAAAAAAAAAATAACCATTAACCCAAAGCAGGTCAGTAAGCTTATAAGAAAATTACTTCATAAGGAATATTTCTTTAAAAACAAAATTGCTACTACACAGTACTAGGTATGCGGTCTCAGGTTCTCTAATTGAGCGGAGCAAACAAAGATGTAAATAAATAATTTTCTTTCTAAATACAATTTTTATTATAAAAGAATAATAGACTTATGACACAACAACTTAAGAAAACTTTTATATGGTCAATACAATACTTTGTCTTACGAGTATGTAATGTCCATTAAACTTGTATATGCTCATAACTCTCCCTATTGAAAATTGTTCAAATATCCAATCTATAGCTGAAGTGTACTGAAATCACATATGCAATACAAAATATAGTAAGAATTGCCTTCGTAAAAATTTTACTACTTTCAATTAAAAGGAAGCAGTTTCTTATATAGAATAGGGAATAAACAGTCTGTTTTACAATGTGGGTCCAATGCATTTTTCCAATTACACTAAAATTCAGATTTGGAAATCTTCAAGGTAATTTTCATTGATGGCAAATTTGTATATGTTGTCCTTTTCAGTACCTGTGCTAACACTACATAGGCATGCCTGTCCAAAGAGTATTCCGAAGTATTAAATGACAACATGTTGAAATAAAGAGCCTTTTTTTTTAATAATATGTATGCCTAATAACTTTTAATTTTTCCTTAAATTAGGGTTAGTAAACTGTTAGGCCAAATTCGATGAAATATTTCTGAAATATTTTTGAAACATACTTCTTACTTACAATGTATAATATGTTGATATATAATCCTTATGGATCAGCAAAACTATTACATGTCTTCTGAAAAAAAAAGTTCCACTATAATGTGAGGACCTAATGTAACCTAAACAGAACTTAAAATGCTTCATCAAACTTGAACTGGCGCATTCATAGAAGTTTATAATAGCCCACATGCTCATAAACATTCTGACATTCAGCGCAGACTGCATTAAGACGAATATGTCTTCTAAATACTTTAAACATAGTGTAAAACTTGTTGTTAGTTATAACAAATTAGAGAACAGCATAAAGTTTAAGATTGGCAGACAGTAAACAGAAATTTTGATAAATTATTAGATGATTGAAGTTTTGTCACCAATGTAACACATTACATGTGATGTCCAGGTGATTAAAGACGATCTATGGCTGAACCCTGTCCAATATTTCAAGGAGTCTTCTGCCAGGGATGTCGACTGTAAATTGGAGAATTTCTCTCCACAGGAATATTATGGGCTGAAACGTAGTTTAAGGTAATGTACAATTTATCAGTGTGATTTCACTAAGACCGTGCATCAGATACAGCTGTGTTACATGATCACTTACAAGTACTTAACATAAGGGTCTGCGCTACAAGTCAGTACAGTACGGTTCTAGACTCCTGTTACTGTCTTAGGTTCAGTATTTGTCTTAGTTATACTTTCCAACAAGTATAATTAACATTTTTTAGGTGAACTTGGAATGCCAAACCTTGTCTAAAGATTTTTCTTTCAAATCAATAAGAGCTTTTAAGTATTTAAGGATTCTAACATGCATGAGCTGAGCCCTGAAAACACTTCTTAGGTTGTTTATTTATGTGTATTTTTTCTCCTAAGTAGACTACAAAATATAAAAGTTCTTTTTACATTTCAAGTATACCTAACGATGAATTAGGTGTATATACCAATGAAAAACAATTGTCATCTGGCCTATTATACTTAACATTAAACTTTAACACAAAACTACTGTATCGTGGGCTGTACCTATAGATATACACAATGTGGAAAAAATGCTTTACCAGAAACGTTACCAGCATTTTTCTTACAACTTTCTGAAATAAGTTTGAGTTCAGAGGTTAAATGGAAAATAACTTGAGATGGATTTTAAAACTGATATTTGTAAATGAATGTCATAAATTTTAATGGTTCTTAGAGTTTATACTTGCATAACCACTCAAGGTGGTATTTGGCTTTGCAACAAATCTTCCTCTACGTATTCCAGTCCTCAGAATCTTCTTCACCAACTCTCATTTTGATTATATCTTTATACACTTTGTCTTTCCACCTCTTCAAAGGACGTGCAGAAATTGTTCTTTGTGGGGTTTCATACCCCACATTTGCTTCACCAAAGCCCCAGCAGTTCTTCAATGTCCCTACTATATGCTCAGGGTTTAATCTTGGGAAAATATTCATGGAGCAAAAATGCTACAAGCTTCCTAAGTTTTGTAGCAAAAAAATGTAGTGTAGCATTTTATTCCCATTATTCGAAAAATGCAATAGGCCTAGGTATTATTTTACTCCGATACTTTTTACTTATTTTATATTTAAGATTTATTTATTGGTTATTATGATGTTTAAGGTAAAAGTCAAATGTAGATAATATAATAAATGTTGTAACAATCCATATTAGGTGATATTTACAGCAGGCCCTACTATTAAAAGTATTTTGAATTTCCTCACCTACAAGGTGACTAGTCAAAGAACTATTCAAGTATCCTCCTTGGTTTCACTACATACCATTTAATAGTCTGTGGTTATTTCTTTATTTAAATTCTGTTATTTAGACAGCCTCAAAATAACTATATTTTTTAGCCTACTGCATATCAATAATGGACTGTAATAAGACATAAGGCATGTTTATTTCCAGTAGACATAGTATTAAAAATGTATTGGAAGAGTCAAACATTTTCATGCAGAGCAGTTGTCAAATTGAGAAGTATGTTACAAAGTATACTTTAAAGTCTACGAAGAAAAAAAATTGCTTTTTAAGTTATTTAATAGGTCTAAAACTAATATCACAGAGTTTATCACTATCGAGAAGTAAAAACAACCAACAATAGTTGGAAATACAATTCATTTTAACAAACTAGGATTATGATTTAATTTAAATACAATTTTAAGAATCATATATTTATTTTATTTGGGATAATGAGGTTATGTTATGTAATTCTACAGTAAATAAGTGTAGAATGAAATTTAGCTATTCAGTAATTGTGTGATGTACACCTTTTATAGTGCTATATAGGTTGTTTTTTTTAACTTGCTTCTTTATTTGTGTAAAAGCTGCAATAGATAGAAATATGCAGTTTGCGGGAATCGTCTATTGACATGGGGCCACAATTGTTGTGAATTTAATGTGAAGTTCCCATTTGCCCCCTTTCTCCCCCTACTCTTAACTTAAATTTTTTAAATTGCAAGTTACCCCTTTTGACATATAAAATGTGAGGGCATGAAAAAAGAAAAAGAATGGTGCAAGCTAGAGATCTCTAAGTCGATCCTATCAAAAGTGATGGCAGTTCAAAATTTGAATTTTTTGCCCCCTTTTTTAAGAAAAACGTTTTTTTTTTAAACGGCTGTAGCTCAAAAACGGTAATGGCTAGCAAAGATTTGAAAGAATTTTTATGATCAGGAATTAATTAAGGTTTCTACAAAACACTCTTAAGCGTTTTCCAAAAATCGCACCCTTCACCTTAAGATCACACTACTTATAAAATTTGTTAAATTTCTCAGATTTTTAAAGTTTTTTTTTACTGAACAAGCATTTTTCAAAGGTGTGACTAGCTGGCATGCTTGTTCAGTAAAAAAAACGTAAAAATACGGTAAAATGATTGTTATTATAGAATTTGTTTGTTGATTCGAGTATTTTTCATGGCGATGATGCTCATATGAATGTTTTGACTTTGTCATAGACAATAAGTCCTCGACCGCTGTAACGTCGATGGAGACTTAATGTTGAAATGACGTCCTTGGAGAGTGAAAAATAATGATAATTAACATATGAAGATTTTGTTTTCAGTCCAAAACATCACAACTCGCCGAAGCAAACCGAATCCGATCAGAATTTTCAGATGGGTTTTTGCCTCGTTGATTTTAAAGCGGTTTGCTATACCAATCCTTAGTCATTTCCAGCAGGATGTCTCCTCCTGCCCTCAATCGCTCAATGTTCTTTCCCCTATTGTACAAGGTGGTATCGTCAGCAAACAATAAGGTTTGTTCATCTAGGTGCAGATCGTTGATCATTATGCTAAACAACAGAGGTCCGACCACTTATCCTTGTGGCACCATGTGCCCCATAATCTGCACCAGTGCACAAGTACTCCTGGTGCAACTTATGGTGACTTGGTTCTGTGAAATGTTCGTCCTAAAAAAGAAGAAGCACTGTTAGGCCTAGAACTGCATCTTGATAAAATTAATGATCTCAATAGTACACCATCAGGCCAGAAGTTAGGATTTAGTAATTCACTTTCACAATTTGTAGGCACTCCTACTTTAAACGAGTCGTAGGATTTGAATCTTGCCTGCAACTGGATACACTTGAAGTAAGCAACACCCTTCTTCTTTATATATCCCAAAACTCCCTCACAAGTAATGTTGGGTGATACTCGTGACACAAATAGTAGAGATCCCTGAGTCGCCGACCTGAAAATTTTGTTCACTACACTCGTACCTATTATAACGTCATTCTTCCTTAGAACTGTGATGCTGTGTCTTCTAACATTGAGGTATTTTTACAATATCAGAATACGGTAGCCTAGGCCTAGTTGGTGTGACTTTTGTGGTTAAGCCATTTTCAGGGTTAGAGTTGGAATTGGAAACAACTTCTTTTCCTCGTTCCATCTGTGCAGCTTGTACCGTCCTAGTACTGCTTACAGTTTACAGTATTACCTGTTACACCACCAGTCACGACTCTTGTCAGTTTTAAAATTTAGTGGGAGTAGCCTACAAGAGAAATTGATATAGAGTGTTGAAGATTTAAATAAATACGGATTAAATGATATAGAAATGAAAGATTGTTTGTTCAGAGTGTTGTCTGAGTTCTACAATTTCAATTAGTTCTACGTTTTCAATTAGCTTAGTAGGTCAGACTAGAAAGTAAAATGAACCTTAATAATTCAGATCAGGTAAGGTAAGAAAAAGCTCAAGCTCAATCATTTTTAAATAAGCTTGATTCGAGGTTGAAAATTACTATTTGAATGGCCTTCAACAGAAAGACTTGTAGACAGGTCAGGCCAAAATACTGCCAAAATACATGTATTTGGTCTTTTTGTCATTGATTCTAAGTTCTACTGTCTGGGTTTGTTTGATTAATATTTTCTATTAATATCCTGGAGTTAATAATTGATACAACTTAACTCCACTCTTTATGATGAAAACATCTTTAACATGGAAATTTCTCTCTACTCCTCAGTTTTGAATTATTTTAGATTTATACTGTATACGCCTTTAATTATATGCATTCAAAACCCTCATTTAATCAATTCTAATATGCTTGGTTACTTTTGCTACTTTCATAAATGTATTCAGTTGATGTATTTTCTGATGGTAAACTTTGTTGTATTGACAGTGATACTTCATGTGCCAATGGTTTCCTCATTAAAAACATGACAGAATATGAAGACGATGAAGATATGGATCGTAAGGAAGATATAGAGCGTAAGTATTCCTCCAGATATAGACGTATTAAAGAATTTATTAATTAATGATAATAATATTGAGGTAATAAACCCTGTTTGGCTGGTTCACCACTCTACCATTTGTGTTGGTTCCTCTGTGAATAACTCAGTAAAGATTGAACTTGTTGTATTTAGATTTTATTTGCCTAGGCCATGTTTTGTTGATTACTAAGGGAAGGATAAGCCGAGGCCAGAAACTGGCCAATAACTGTACTTCAGAAAAGGGGGTTCACTTACAATTTCGGCATGCAAATTCTTTTTACTCTAAAGTGTTTAAAAAAGATGAGTTCTAAAACTCAACATTACTTTAACATGTTGGGTACGGGTCGTTCTGAAATTCAAAGCAAATATAGTGTCTCATTGAAAAAACAAGAATTTATAAATAAAATGTTTGCAAAAAAAATTATAATAATGTCAATAATTAACATGGTAAGTGGTACAAAACAATTATAATATAAAAATAAATATGTTTAAAAAAATCATGTGTGCCTTATTTTTCCCTTCGCTCACTGTCTCCTGTCTCAGGGTTCTAAGTTCAAAGTTAAAAATTTCCATGAAAATTATGTCAAAAAATAATAAAGGAACATTCAATATATTGATGAAAGAATGCCATTTGTTAATCAATTGAAGAGAAAAGCTCAATATCATCTTGTTTTTAAATATTTATGAAGTTTTAACTGTCTTCAAGTTCACGACGAATTTGCCGCAATGTTTTGAATTTGCCGCTAAATCGCCCGCCAATCAACGTATCCCAGCATGCACCGGCACTGTGTGAGAAGTGGAGTGTATTGTACAGAACGCCGGCCGGAACTTGATGATAAATTATATATTTCTCGAGTTAAAACTGAAATTCAGGTAAGAATTAGTGCGTACCTTTATTGCTGTTCCCTTCACTCACGTATCATAACTCAATAAATTTACAAATAACAATAATTACAATGGTATTGTTTGAAAGTACCGAGCAGTCAGTATAACCTCACTTTCAGGCCAGCTGAAGCTGCAGTTACAGTCGCGTCAAAAGTAATAGACCTTCAAATTTTCTCTCCGCCCACGTTCTCTCCACTCACGTGATCGGAGAGAAAAACGTGAGCGAAGAGAATGTTTCGTGACCAAATAACTTCTTTAGAGAGATTTGTTATCATGATTACTTTCCAAAATCAAAAGATAATTTTTTTTCGTTTTATAAAATTTACTAAGTAACAATTTAACCTCTGGGGTTTTTTTTTTAAGTTAATGAAAATGTGTTAGGCATTTGCAGTAATAAAATAAAAATATCCCCCCAAACATACCTTTTATATATATTTTTTAATAAGAATAATGATTTAACTTGTCATTTTTTTTTTAGAAAAAATAACCAATTAATTATTGTTAAAGAAATTTGTATGAAGCACAAATAGTTAGCCTACTGCAGATTTGATGGTTTTTCATTTACATTATTTGTTTCTAGAGACCAGTAACAGTTTTAAACTATTTTGTTAAGCATGATAAAAGTATTAAGTGTTAACTATGATTAAATATTTAAATTATTATACAATAGTTGGAAATACAATTCATTTTAACAAACTAGGATTACGATTTAATTTAAATACAATTTTAAGAATCATATATTTATTTTATTTGGGATAATGAGGTTATGTTAAGTAATTCTACAGTAAATAAGTGTAGAATGAAATTTAGCTATTCAGTAATTGTGTGATGTACACCTTTTCCAGAGCTATATAGGTTGTTTTTTTTTTTACTTGCTTCTTTATTTGTGTAAAAGCTGCAATAGATAGAAATATGCAGTTTGCGGGAATCGTCTATTGACATGGGGCCACAATTGTTGTGAATTTAATGTGAAGTTCCCATTTGCCCCCTTTCTCCCCCTACCCTTAACTTGCAAGTTACCCCTTTTGACATATAAAATGTGAGGGCATGAAAAAAGAAAAAGAATGGTGCAAGCTAGAGATCTCTAAGTCGATCCTATCAAAAGTGATGGCAGTTCAAAATTTGAATTTTTTGCCCCCTTTTTTAAGAAAAACGTTTTTTTTAAACGGCTGTAGCTCAAAAACGGTAATGGCTAGCAAAGATTTGAAAGAATTTTCATGACCAGGAATTAATTAAAGTTTCTACAAAACACTCTTAAGCGTTTTCAAAAAATCGTACCCCTTCACCTTAAGATCACACTACTTATAAAATTTGTTAAATTTCTCAGATTTTTTATCTTTTTTTACTGAACAAGCATTTTTCAGAGGTGTGACTAGCTGGCATGCTTGTTCAGTAAAAAAACCTTAAAAAATACAGTAAAATGATTGTTATTATAGAATTTGTTTGTTGATTCGAGTATTTTTTATGGCGATGATGCTCATATGAATGTTTTGACTTTGTCATAGACAATAAGTCCTCGACCGCTGTAACGTCAATGGAGACTTAATGTTGAAATAACGTCCTTGGAGAGTGACAAATAATGATAATTAACATATGAAGATTTTGTTTTCAGTCCAAAACATCACAACTCGCCGAAGCAAACCGAATCCGATCAGAATTTTCAGATGGGTTTTTGCCTCGCTGATTTTAAAGCGGTTTGCTATACCAATCCTTAGTCATTTCCAGCAGGATCAATGTTCAATGTTCTTTCCCCTATTGTACAAGGTGGTATCGTCAACAAACAATAAGGTTTGTTCATCTAGGTGCAGATCGTTGATCATTATGCTAAACAACAGAGGTCCCTGTGCCCCATAATCTGCACCAGTGTTAAATTATTATAAAACAATTATAAAACTTAATATTTAATAGCCTAAGAATTTATTTGAATGTTGATTATTGTAGGCCTACAATAAATTAAATATTTAAATGATTATAAAACAATTATCTAACTTAATATTGTAATAGCCTAAGAATTTATTTGCATGTTGATTATTGTAGGTCTGCAATAAATAAATATTTACAAAATTGTTATTAAAATTCGTTTACACTCTTTAATACAGTTGAAGATATTCCAGTCTATAATTTTGTTTTCAGATTTAGATGTTTCGTCAATAATGGCAAAGGGAACAAAGAAAGATAAAAATGAAGTTGAAAAATATAAGAGGCAGAAGAGTCTAGCGGCGGCTAGACAGCGGAGGCGAAGGGCAAGGATGACAGAAGAAGAACTTGAAAACAAAAGAAAAAGAGATCGTGAAAGATATTACAGATTGAAACAGGAGAAGAAGATTAAACCTGCAAGTGAAATGAATCAACCAGAATTGAATGAGATGAGAAAGAAGTGGAGGAAAAAAAAGGCGGCACAAAAGAAAAAGAAAGAAGATGAAAGAAGACTTACGGAGGATACTCCTGAAAATTCAGAAAGTGAAAGTCTCTAGTCACAACACACTATTATTATTACTATTATTATTATTATTTGATTATTATTATTGTTATCGTTATTACTATATGCACTTTTGTTGTTATCTATACATGTTTGTTAGTCATCACTCATCAATTCAATTCAATTTAATTCAATAGTTGTAACACAAATTGTATCCTGTATGAAATGGTTTGTCCGTCAAATAAATGAAATGAAATGAAACACAGCAACAACAGAGCCACAACTGAGTCTAGACAGAAGAAACAAGGAAGAAAAGCTGTCAAACAAGATAGGTCAAAGATGTACAGAGAACTAAAGAAGAAAACAGAAGAAAATGAGGTACTAAAAAGAAAACTGTTAAAGTATAAAAAAAGGTTGGAGAGGGAGAAAAAAAAGGAAAAAAATAGAATTGACAAAACGGCTTCCCCTACCCCGACCAAGAAGCTGGAAAATATTATAGGCACAGAGAAAGTTTCGCCAGTGGTCAGAAAACGACTGTTTGTAGGCTTAGCTCTTGAGCAACAGTTGAAGGACCAGGCACGATCTGTCAAGAATAGGAGCAATGACGAAAATATTTTGAATAAAGTAATAGGTAGCAAAATAATTAGAAAATATAGACTACAAAACCAACTGTCTCACATTATTTCTTACAAGCATAATATGAATATGGATAAATCATCTTTTTCAGCACCTAAAAAGAAAGTCTACAAGACAGTTAGAGTTACAGATGCTAAAGCCATCGTAAACTTTTTTGAAATGGACACGGTATCCAAAATGCTACCAGGAAAAAAGGATTTTGTGAGACAAGGAAAAGTGAAGAAACAGAGAAGATTGCTTTTAGACAGCCTCAAAAATCTTTCCCAAAGATTCATCAGAGAAAGTAAACTGAAGATATCGTTTTCTACATTTTGCCGGAGTAGGCCCTTTTGGGTTACGAAACCTAAAGAAAAGGACAGGGAAACTTGCGGTTGCATTCGTCATGACAATTTCCAGTTCTTAGCAACCGCTTTGAAAAAAGCAAAAGTATTGACACATGATAAGGCTCATGATCTGATAAAAGAGGTTGTTTGCTCCTCTAATAATGAAAACTGCATGACGAAAAAGTGTGACAAATGTAAAAGTAAATCTGTTTGTTTCCATCCTACAGAAGAAGTTGAGGCTGAGTACTTTGAATGGGTAACAACTTCAATGAAGAAAAACATCAAAGGTGTAGAAAAAGTGGTGAAGAGGGTGGTAAAAAGGCAACAAGTTGCTAAAGTTTCAGACTTGATAAATAAATTTAATAAGGAAATAGTGCTTTTCCAGTCCCACGTTTTTTCTATGAAACACCAAGCCAAGTGCTTGCAGTCATTAAAAGAAAGCTTGAAAGAGGAGGAACTACTCTTTTAAGTAGACTTTTCCAAAATTATATAGGGAAATGTTCCACTGAGATTCAGTCTATGCATTTCGGCGCTTCGAAGCGCCAAATTTCCTTACACACGGGCGCAATCTACTATTTCAAAGACGAAGAAATGCAGTGCAAAACCTTCTGCACTGTTTCAGATAATCTAGATCATCAGGCTCATGGAGTATGGGCACACCTTGATCCAGTACTGAAAGGTATTGGGGAACAAATCCCTAAGACGAAAATGGTCCATTTTTTCCAGATAGCCCCTCCTCCCAGTACCGAAACCGGTATAACTTTTACCCGATGCAAAATTTGCTTCCAAAATACTTTAAAAATTTAGTTGGGTTCACATGGAACTTTTCTGAGCCGGGACACGGCAAAGGTGTGATGGATGGGGTGGGGGGATCCGTGAAAAGAAATGCCGACAAAATGGTTTTACAAGGAAAAGACATTGTTTGTGCTAAGGACTTGGTATCTTTATTTACAAAGAGTAAAACTAATGTAATATAAATAACCTCTTCAGCGGTTGAACAGATGAAAAAATCAATACCGGAAGATATTAAGCCTATTAAAGGTATAATGAGCATCCGGCAGTTGTGTTGGAATAAGGAGGTTCAGTGTGTGTTTGGGCGGAAACTTTCGTGTATGAAATGTCTAAGTCCCGATAATATTAAGTGTAGCCACTGCCACCTATGCATTGCTTCAGCTTGTACAAGCAAACTCTCCTCAAAAAAGAAAAAAATTAAATTAAGATGTTTTTACATCATCAGACGAGGACAATTCCCTTGAAGAGGAAACCAAGAAAGTGATAACACCCTTGCCATACTCTTATGAAGACCCAAAATTAGGCAGATATGTTGTTGTCTCTTTTCCCACTGGAAAGACTAAGTTTCAAAGCTATGTAGCAGTTATTCGAGGAAAAGTACAAGATGACCGAGATATCTTTGTGATGTTTATGACGAACTATGGAAATATGGCGACTTTTAGGCCCAATGAAAATTATAGCAGCTATATTTCATGTGACCAAATCGTTGGCATTTTGCTAGACCCTGATCTAGTTGCAAACGGCGACAGAATCTTATATAAGTTTAAAAACCCTATCGCCCTCTAAACTAAAATTTCCAACTAAATGTGGTTTAACAAAACTTTTGATTATTTGTTGGAAGTTTATTTATAACTCTTGTTTTTAAGTTTGAGTTACTCAATTAATTAATTAATTGGAGAGTTACCAAGTTTAGCCAGAGATCTCATTGTATACGGATGCACTGTGTATACGGTGTATTGTTTAGGTGAAAGGAAAGCAAACAATTGTAAACTTATTGATATTATATCACTATTTTATTCTCATTCACAAACTAAACAGTCTCATAAAACTACATTCACTTAAAATAATTAAAAAACATTATTCTTAGGCCTTAAAATTTCTCTTCGCTCACTTTGTAGTTCCCCTCTCTCACTCTGTAGTTCCCCTCGCTCACACTAATTCCCCTCTCTCACACCCAGTAAAAGCTCTGTTTATAAAAAAATAATTTTTTTTAAAACCTGTTTTCAATTTCAATGCAAGAACCAATGATCATTAAACAGGTTTATTAGTTTTTTTTTAATGAATTAAATAAAAATTTAACTTCTGTTTTGGTCTATTTGGTAAAAAATGGAGTTTTTTTTGGATCAGCAACTATTACTTTTAATTAAATAACGTTTTAAAAATTTTTTATCGTTAGTTACAGTTATAAACTTTTACTTAAAACTATAAATTTTACTATTTTTGTTTTTTTTCCGATCCCCAAATTTGCCTTGAATTTGAGAACGACCCGTACACTCTACTCTTGTTAATTCAAACATTTAATAAATCAAAACTTACGATAATTAAAAATTAAAGCTATGTCCACAGAGAATTTCTTGATATTTCAAAGTTTTACCACACATTTTTTACACTCGGTAATACAAAGTTTAAGTTGAGGGCAGGTTGATTTGGATTGGAACACAGTAATTCGAAGTTTTGTTAGCAGAACTCTCTATTATTCAAAGAGACGGAGGTGAATTCATAGATTTATTGCTCTCATAACAGAAAACTATGAAGCTCACTACAGGTTGAAGCTGTATTTGTTGTATTCTTATGACAACTAAACATAAATAAAAGTCGATTGTGAAAAAAAATAAGTGATTGCAGCAGTAAAAAGTGGTAGAATAAAGTTTGAAGCAGAAAAAACATTTGAAATTCCTTCAAAAACAAAAAATTGACACACTCTTGATTTGAACTAATATCATTGATGATGCAAGACTCAAGAGCAAGAAGCAAACTAAAATAACAAATTTTTCAAACTAAAATAAGCTGTTTCAACTCTTTGTAATTTAAATGGATTCTTTTCCTCCTGATAAATCAAACCACTTGACTGGTCAAAATCCTTGATTATTCAAAACTCTTGTTAATTCCAATTAATTTGCTCAGCCCACCAATTTCAAATAATTCTAGAGTCTACTGTATTCTGAATTTTATCAAGTTCTTGTTTCCTGTCTTCTGGATAAAGAAATTAGATGTATTGACATTTGGAGATACATAGGTTCATAAATAGTTACCTTTATAATAAGACTGTCAGTATTACATTACATTTACAAAAAAATAGGGGTGTGCGAACAGTGGTTTTTGGGTTCAAATCGAATTGAATACTTCATAATATTTTCTAATATGGAATATTACCGAGCGAATATTTATGATATTATACACTCCAAATAGTTTTCCAATCACAGCTTTGGAACTCTACTAAGGTTAATAATCGTAATTTTAACCAATGTAACATGTCTAAATAATCTATTTTTGCCTTTACCTATTTGTTCTTGGACAAAATCAGTATAGTACAAGGCTTCCAGGATTTTTCTCATTTTATTTTCCAACACATTATAAAAACCTTTGACTTTTAACAGGATTATATGTCAAGAATGAAACAGTTAAGATAAAAGCTTAATCAACCTATTTTACTGCTAAAATAAGTCATAATAAAGTAGTTAAAAATTTTGGTTAAGAATATGTAGGAATAAACATGTTTGTAGCAACATTTTGAAAAGATAATTTAACACACTGGTTATCAGCTGTCACCATTCAACAGATGACAATGAAAGACTGGAGATTACGATGAAGTAAAGTCAAAGAGTAAAAGTTCAAAAAATCAAAACTTATATATAGTCTATAATAATATCAATATCAATGCAAATATTCCACAATTTCTATGTTCTATGTTCTATTATGTTCTATGTTCTATTCTACAATAATAATGTTCCGGTTATAAAATAATTATTACTATAAGTATTGTAGCAACACAACTCGCATTTGCTGGAACCTTCCCAGGAAATAAAGTAAAATTAAATGCAGACGACACAAGTCAATGTATTTAAACTGCAAGTCAATGTTTTTGAAACTGCAATGTCTTTTTCTGGAAGGAAGGGCAGCAGGATGTAAACGAACCATAAACCATTGTCTCCAGTAGGGGGCAGGCATTCTCAAGGTCATACACCCTCCCCTCTTACACCTCCAGTTTGCATTACAATTCTCCTATTTCAGACACAATTGTATAGCAAAACAAAAAAGTGGAGTCAAAAATATATTTCTCTGTCCAAAAATAAAAATAAATTGCAGATTATTTTCATAGAAATTAGTTTACAAAGTTTGCGTCTTGTTAAGGAGTATGTTTAATCTATGCTTTAGCATATACTGAAGTGCAGTTCTAACCTCATAGCTTGCTAGTTTTTACTCAGACAACACTTTCAGATGATTTATTTCATCATTCTACTGTAATTTAGTTTAACTTCACATTACAAATGTAGATCCTAATATTAATTAAGCTAGGAGAATTTATTTCGATGTCATACAAATAACAAATAGATATCTGTAAATAAAATTTCTTCTAAATATAGGCTATTGTTAGTTAATAAAGTAAGAATGGTGGACAGTCTTATCTATCCATGCCGGTAGGTCTAGCTGATCGGAGTAATTTTAATACCGACACAACAAAATTATCGCCCTTGAAAATGGGCGTGTGTGTAGACTTTAGAGTTAAGGAAGATGTCATAATATGCTGAAGTTGCCGCTGTTATTTATAATACAAATCATGAAATGTTGGGATGAAATAAAACAACACAATACCATGATTTATTTGGTTGCTGTTACAGATTATTTCTGGGTTTATTTGCTCGAATGTTCGAATATACTCATTAAGATCGAGTCGGGCTCGAATACTAAAGTATTCGTTCAACTACTCGAACTTTCGAATATTCGCACACCCCTAAGAAAAAAGTGAACACTACATTAACAAAAAAACATTTATATGGTCGATTTTTACAGACCCCAACTTGGTGAGAAGCTTTTATTGATTCTTACCATGTTGTATATAAATATGTTAGGAACTCTTAATATTGGAATTAAGGATGTTAAAACCGTTTATTAGCTAATTTAATGTTTTTATACTATGTCAAAATCCATAATGTTATTTTGAATACATAGGTATTTTCTTTATTTTTGTAACAACATCCTCTATAAAAATCTTTGAGATAAAAGATTGTAATTCTTGATGAATCTTTTACAGAGAACTCAAAGCGTTTCAAACAGGAAGAACAGTATCAACTCTCCGAAACAACCCTAAAACAAGAAGAGACTCTGGAAAAACTCGAACCATCAGATGAAGTGACAATTATTAAACATGAAGAAACAATTGTAAAACATGAAGAAACAATTGTAAAACATGAAGAGACACTTGTAAAACTTGAAGAGTTGTCTCAACCCTATGAGACGACTGAAGAACAAGAAAAGACTGACCAAGAAACCGATGAGACTGCCAAACAACAATAATAGACTGCCAACAGAAGAATAGTTACAATGTGCCTTGATGTGTGATTTATTGAAGTGTTAAGTTAATGTATGTACGCTGTATGGATTTATTGATGTCCTATTACCAAATTATTATATTTGAATAACATACATTTTAAAAATTACATCACACTACCAAAAGTACATTCTATAATTAATAAATATTCTTTTTGAGAATCGAAAGACTGATAGCGCAATTACTGTTATGGCAATCTTAAGAATTGCTATATTTCGACTGTAAAGATTCAGACAATTTTGTGGTGTTTGTCACACATAAACTGAGTGCTAGTTGTAGAAACTTTACCTCTACTTCAAGTGATTTTATTCAGTATTTAACCCTTTTTAGTTGGTAAGATTTAGAGTTACCTCATTACTCTTAAGTGTTAATTAAATTTTATTATTTCTTTACAATTTTATACATTTTCTCTTTCTCTAAACCATTTAATATCAATTTGTCAAACAAAGTTGACAAAATAAAACTGAAGTTACTCATTCACCTTGAAATACATATTGAATGTAATGAAAGTTTAAGCAAACTAATGCAGAATAATAGATAGTAAATAAAATGAAGAAGATATAGAATAAAAGAAAAGGTAGTTAAAGTATCATCTGCACTACAATAGAAGTTAGCTAAAAATAAAATACTACCTAATATTTTTTGTAAAATTTGTCTTTATATCTTACAAACACTTTACTGGCATTACATTTTTCCAAGAGTGTCCCACTGCAGCGAGTGGTCCATACATCATTTACAAGAGGTTAACTTGTATAGTTAATAGCATTTCACTGCATTTTTCATAACACTGCATAATATTGTAGTACTAGAAAAGCCAAATGGATCTTTAAGAATTTGTATCGATCCAACACAACTTAATAAATATATCATAAGAGAGAGGTATGCAATTCCTTTGCTAAAAGGACCTGGCTCCAAACTTAAGTAATAAGAAATATTTCACAATTTTGGATTTGAAAGACAGGTTTTATCATATTGAGGAAAATGTGATCATTCAGCACGATCTTTGGAACTTACAGATTTTTTAGGGCACCTTTTTGCCTCTCTTGTGTTCCTGAAAAATTTCAAAGATTGGTACACAAATATTTCAAAGGCATTAAAGATCTTTCAATCTATTTTGATGATTTGTGCATTGCTACTGATATTAAAGAGGAAAATGATAATATTATAAAACAGGTTATAAAGAGCAAGACCAGTATAATATTAGATTTAACTGTAGTAAAATGCAATACTGTGTTAATATGGTAAAATACATTGGTGCTATATTCAGTGAACAAGGAATGCAACCGGATAGATAAATACCCCCGCCGCAGCAAACCTGCCGACTAAGCGAATTTCCATTTGTCTGAATTGATTTTCAATTAAATACTTATATTTTAATAACATTAGGTTTAACAAGTACCTAGGTTTGCTGCTACAAGGAAACTAATAAAGTGTGTTTTTGAGTAAAATATTTATAGCTTAGTACAAAATAAATAAATTTGCCAAGTTTGATCAAAATATATTCATAAACAAGCAAACTACAACATTTGACAATATTCTCCATAAGAATAACATGGGAATTTTAAATTTACAATTTGTTTCATTTTCTCCGTTACTAATATTCAAACAAAAATACTTTTATATACTAAATTATTTGTTTTTTTAAGCTCTTTAAAAAGGTCTAAAGAGAAATTGGGAAATTTTGTGTTTTGAGGGTCAAAAGTGAGAAAAACCAACTTTTACCCCATAAAACCCCCCGTAAAGCCCCGTTCCCATGGTCCGATCGTGCTGGTTCGCGAACTCATTCAAGTTTATCCCGCTTTACACCTTTAAACCAAATTTCATTAAAATCGGACAAAAATTACTCAAGTTATCACGTTCACGGACGTATATATATATATATATGTCTATATATATATATATACATATATAAAAATTTGAACGAATAGTGTTTTTGGCCTCTGGGGACATCAAAATGAAAAAGTAAATCGGTCCCGGGTCTAGGTCTTACCGTGCCACCTACGGTAATAGCTACTTCCCTATAGGGAAATTCGCTAAAAATAGAAACAATAAAGAATTTTAAAACTCCTTTATCTAAGGTAGAATTGCAAAGATTTTTAGGTATGGTAAATTACATCAGAAATTTTGTCCTTAATTTGGCGTCACTAACTTCACCTCTTAGAGATTTACTAAAAAAGGATATTCCCTGGCAATGGTATGAACATCATTCTAATGCTCTTGAAAAAATCAATCACTCTGTAGTGGTCAAGTCTTAGGGAATTTTGATCCTTCTCTTCCTATTGAAATACAGTGTGATGCTTCACATGATTTGGTAGGGTGTTGTTGCATGCAAAATGACAGGCCTGTTAGTTACTTTTCTTGAAGTCTTACCACAGCAGAAGTTGATTATGCTTAAATTGAAAAATAATTATTAGCTATTTGTTTCTCTTGCAAGAAATGCCATAACTATATCTATAAGAATGAAAATGTTACAATTTTTACTGACCATTTACCTCTTTGCCTCTTTTGTCAATTTTTAATAAGCCATTGTTTAAAATTGTCAATAACAGAATAAGAAGGCTAAGACTTAAATTAATGATATACAGCTTTAAACTAAAATATTTGCCAGGAAAACACATGCATGTTGCTGACTTTTTATCTTGAAATGGTATTAAAGATGAGGTTGAATGGCATGAACCCTTAGATGGCATTGTACATTGTATTTAATCTTCTGAAGTGAAGTTTGGTGATAGAAGACTTGAGGAATTTAAAGAGGAAACAGGAAATGATTATGTTTTAAACAAAGTTATACAGTGGCGGTTCTAGGACCTTGTCAAGGGGGGTTTAGAGGTGCACCCCCCATTAAAGAAGGGGGGTCAGGGGGTCCTCCCCCGGAAAAATTTGGAATTTTCAAAGCAGTTTGGTGACTTTCTAAAGCCATTTTTAATACCTAAAACCGTGCCCAATTGTCCATAAACTCCCATTTCACCTGTTAATTGTCATAAGCAAATAGACATTTAAAAAATTAAACTATGACGATTGCATTAATGAATTTCAAAACACACTGTAGACTACGGCTATATCCTCCTAAAAGCCGTTGGGTGACTTTCTACAGGCAGTTTTAATGTCTAGAACTGTGTGCAAAACCTCCCATTTAATTGTCATGAATAAGTAGATATTTTTAAATCTACAGTAACTATGACGATTGCATTCATAAATCTCAAAACATATTGTAGGCTACGGCCATATCCTCCTAAAAGCTGTTTACTGACTTTCTAAAGCCATTATTATTGTCTATATCTGTGTCCAAAAATCTCTCATTTCACCTGTCGTTTGTTTTGTCATGAGCAAGTAGACATTTAAAAAATCAAGCTATGACAAACTTGCATTCATGAATTTCAAAACATAGGCCTACTGTAAAAGCCAAATCTCCTAAAAGCCATTTGGTGACTTTATCAAGTCATTTCTAACGGCTAGAACTGTGTCCAATTGTCCTGAAACATTACATTTCACCTGTTAATATGTCATGCAAGCAAGTAGGACACGTTTATTAACCTTACGTTTTTCTCCATTTCATAGATCTGTCACAATATGTATAGTATCGAATTCAGTAATAGCATTGACTATATAAACTTTAACACTTAGTGGTAATCGGATTACCATCTCATTAATGGTAATAGGCTACTATGGTGCTACCGCTGATTGCTGATTGATGCATGTGTAAAGTTAGTGGCTAGCAGACAATTTGACAACCAACTATGGAACATCAGGAAATCAGCTTTTTTTCCCGTCCTCGCTCGCCTTTGCCCTAGCATGTCAGCTGACTGCTGTAAAAATTGGATGATGCGTACAACTTTCCATAGCGTAGTATTGTTTTATTCGTTGTGCTATTATTGTCCACAAAGTTTATCTACGTGAAACTTAATACTATTCCTGCCATCGCTCATCAAGTTTAATAAAAACTACGTTGATGTCTGTTTTCTGTTTTATGTGTTTTTAAGGACGAAATGTATGTTTAAATTTATTTTTCCACGGTCCAAGGGGGGGGCTTTAGCCCTTGTAGCCCCCCATTGGAACCGCCACTGAAGTTAAACAATTTAGTAAAACCCAATGGCCAAAATCTTTTTATTATGGTGATTTAAAGCATTATTTCTATATGAAAAATGATGTAACTCATCAAGATGGATTACTCTATTCGAATGACAAACTTATAATACCTAATAAACTCAGAAAATTTATGCTGTCACACCTGCATGAGACTCTTCTAGGAACAACCAAAATATTGAAGACTGCCAATTTATTATTTTACTGGCCAGAAATGTCATCAGACATAAGAAATACAGTATATCAATGTTCTATATGTATGAAACACCAACGTTCAATATTGAATGAACCTTCAAAAGCTCACAGTGTTCCGAGTGTGCTCGCACAAAAATTTACAAGATCAGCGCGCCTAACGGCGTCAGAACAAAACGTTTACTTTCTGGATAGCCTCAGTATAATAATAACATCAAGTCCTTGCTATCCAAAAAGTAATGGACCAAAAAGTAAGCAGAAAAGGCTGTGGGGATTGTAAAGAATATGTTACGGAAGAGTGCTGAAAGTGATTTTGAACTCTTCTTTTTAAACTATATAAACTCACCTGTTGCAAACCTGGACTATTCACCATCTCAGCTTTTAAACAGCAGACACATAAGATCAAAACTACCCATTCCCAACAGTTATCTACAGCATAAAACAGTTTCTTTTGAGGTACATGAAAGAATAAATGAAAGCAAAAAGTATCAAGAACAAAATTGTAACAGATCAGCCTTGAAGAAAGAAGATGAATTCCAAGTGGGAAAAGAGGTTCTAGTACAAGATATTAAAACTAAATTTGGAATCCTGGTATGGTTAAGAAATTACACACCATATAAGAAAATTTAAATCTATTTTAAACAAGGACAGTCAAATTAAACCCAATGAGGTTTGCTGCTACAAGGAAACTAATAAAGTGTTTTTTTAGTAAAATATTAATAGCTTAGTATAAAATAAATAAATTTGCCAAGTTTGATCAAAATATATACATAAACAAACAAACTACTGTGTACAACAACATTTTACAATATTCTCCATAAGAAAAACATGGGAATTTAAATTTACAATTTTTTGAACTTTCTTTGTTGCCAATAACCATACAAAAACACTTTTATATACTAAATTATTTGTTTTTTTTAAGCTCTTTAAAAATGTCCAAAGAGAAATTGGGAAATTTTGGGTTTTGAGGGTTAAAAATTAGAAAAACAATTTTTTACCCTATAAAACCCCGTTCCTATGGTTTGATCATGCTGCTTCGCTAACTCATTCAAGTTTATCCCGTCTTACACCTTTAAACAAAATTTCATCAAAATCGAACAAAAATTACTCAAGTTATCACGTTCTTGAACGTATATACATATATAAAAATTTGAACGAATGGTGTTTTTGGCCTCTGGGGAGATTAAAATAAAAAGTAAATCGGTCCCGGGCCTAGGTCTTACTGCGCCACCAACGGGTAATAGCTACTTCCCTATAGGGAAGTTCGCTAATATATCAACCGAACCAAGATATTTAGTGATGTTAAGCTTTTATTGATTAAATTTAAATTTGCCTAGATGTCTCCTCACCACATTCTTAAATTAGCTCCTCTCTTATAAGTACCTATCAAACTTTCTTACAAGTCTCAAAACTAATATTACTTAATCATAGGGGTTTTTTTTCAAGATGAATAAAATCATTATAGAGCCCTTTCTGAAAATCAAGGAAATACAATGAGTTAAAATAAAAGTGGACAACCACAGGAGTCTTTCTTAGACTAGATTACATTTTCTCAATATAATTCACAGTTCCTCCAAAGAATCAAAAGACCTAGAACTAGGCCTTATTATCTAGCCTATATAAATAGCTTACTAACAGAAATTGAGGTTATTAGCATTCATAATTTTGGTTCATAGGATTTAGATTACAATAAGTATATAGGTACAAGCATATAAAAACCAAATAGAGCAGTAACAACAACATTTAACTATTCACCCTTATCTGACTGTGTTCCTTTACTGAGGCCAGCTGGCTAAACCAACTGAGGCTGGATTAGAAGGACTCTACTATAAAATTAAATCAAAGTGCTTGTTTCTTCCAGTCATATTAACTGTGTGCGGTGGCAATTTAAGTTAGTATTTAAAATGAGAGAGTTCTTGCATTTTACCCCACATCGAAAACTCTTGAATTCAGGGTATAAATGTTCTACAAAAAGTGTTTGATAGTTGACAGAACATAATTGTTTGGATATTAGGTGAAGAATACGAGATGTAAGGTTTGTGTTACTAAATAATACACAACGTATAGTGAAACTTAATTTATTATAAAAAAATTTCATACATACAATACATAAGCATACATTTTGCTTAGTTATATTTTATTTAAATTTCACAATTTACAAATTTCACTAGTATCTGTATTCCACTCCACAAGGTAAGTTAGATTTAAAATTTGTTGCAAAGAAAAACCAATTTTAAGTATACGACAAGAAATCAATTATATAAACTAGGTAAATCTTTAAGGAACGGAAGAAAGAGCTGTCAGAGATTGAACAGGTGGACGGCTTGAAAAAAGAAAAGTCAAACACTTTTGAATTGTTAAGGTATCCTTGCATCTTTTATGTGACTTATTCTTTGGGACACTAGTAGTTTGTCTACTAGCTAATTATGTAAAATATATTAAATACACTAATAAAGCTAATGTTTACTAACAAAATGCATCATTAATATCAAAGAGAAGTGGCAACACTGAATAAAAAAGTATAAATATATCGTAAGTAAACTAAATGTGACATATACATTAGGCTGATTAGATACAAATTCAAATGAGGCAAAATAGTCTTCATTGCTGGACTTAAACATTCTACAATGGTATTTAGCTACATTTTATACTTATAAAAACCTATTTTATTCAACTTTCTATAAAGATTAAAAGTATTTTGAGCAAATGTAAAAAAAAGTTAGCACTCTTTGTTACTACAAGGGCGAATTCCAAAATTTGGAACTAAAATCTGCCAACAAGATTTTAGTATTAAGTATTGCGATCTTTAAGATTATTTTAACATACTGTACCTAATGTGAAAGCTAACATAAACATCACAAACACATTGTAAACCAAAAGCCTGTGACCTCAATAGATTCGAGTAAATATTTAAAATTTAAATCATTGAATTTGGGGGCATCTTTTGGCAGAACCAAGATTATGAGGAGTAAAATAGGCTTCATTTAATCAATTCCTTTCACAAATAACATGTTATACTTTGCTAGGTGATTTTTTTTATGCATGAAAAGTTACTGCACAGTTCAATACTATAATTGTTTATTATTATTTACTTTTAGTAAAGGCTCAACTGAAGTGAGTTAAATAACTTTAACAGTCACAAATTTGGAACAAAAAACTGCCTAGTTTTAAAACGAGAGTGACTTTAATCACCACTCTACCAGGGTAAATTTTAAACCTTGGCACTATAATGAGTACAGTCTAATTAATGAATTACAATGTAAACTTGGCATAGAATAAAAGATGGTCTGACGTTTAAAGTTAATATCCATGCAAACTTTTGTAGATTGCTTTGCTACAATAACAGTACCAGTACTTAAATACTTTTGTCCACTGAGCAATATGTGAATACATTACACTAAAGTTAGAAACACTAGTTGGAGACAAATAGGCTATTCACACTGACTGATGTGAATGTATAAGTCGCAATGTCAACATTCATATTGCACAATTGTTACTTGATGTGTTTAGACCATAATTTTACTGCATATAGTTTTAGGCTGTACAAACTTATTTCTCTTCATGATGCCCAGGTGTTTGCAATTTACCCAAAAAGATTTTAATGAGTAAATTGTCTGTTAGCAACCATTATTTGACTATGTCATCAACAAAAATTTTGAATACACTATTTTATAAAAATTAAATAAGGAAACACATTGACTAAAGATAAGTAAGGCGTCTGAGCAAAGTCCATGTATTTCAGTAAAATATTCCAACCTCATTAGCTGTAACTTTAATAAAAACTATACTCAGAAAATTAACCAAGATGCAAAAAATGTTAATTAGAATAAAATAGAAACAGAAACCCTTAAATTTATTTGTTAGAATTTAAAACAATATTACACGTGTATTCGAATACTAAAGCTTGTAAGAAATATAAAAAAAATATAAGAAATACAAACAAATTTCGAACCCTGAGGGTAAAGAATGGAAGAAATATTATTAAAAAAATTAGAGAGCATACAGTGAAAGTATTGCACAATAATTATAGTAACACGATGAACAATAGTGGTGTACATACTTGATGTGATGTCTACAGTGTTAAGTTAAGACTATGTACACTACATGGCTAACTTTCTTAATCCTACTCTGGCTGCAATAAACATAAAAAATTATTTCTAAAAATGACTAATATACTTTATTCATAAATAAAGAAAACACTAAACGCAACTGCCATTGAGACAATAAAATAAAATGTATATAAATAACAAATTCAACAAATGCTGTAAAATAATTTTTTATATTACAAACTTATACATAGTGAAAATTTAAAGCTAACAAAGGAGAGTCTTTGTGAAAGTCGAATGTGGGAAATTAACTGAGATCCGAAATCGTCGTTAATTTCTCGTAGATACAATATTTACTCGTTATCACAAAATACAATGTTAAGTACCTGCCTAGGAGGTAAAATATAGCTTGAAAATGAGTATTAGTAGAGTTTAAATAAAAAAGGAACTTAAAGATTCATTTAAAATAATATATACAAAATCAAAGGGCAAAGGAAATAATGAGAGAGCAATGAACGTAATTAAGTACGTAACACACAATTAGCCCTTGAGAATAATGTTTGGCACCAAATTTATATACTTTAGTAAAAATAAAAGTATAAAAACATTAATGTACAAAATGCGTGTAAAAATGTTACGATTTAAAATATATCGAGGAACAATTTTTGTCTTTTAATTAAAGCATGAAACAACATACACTCGACTTATGAAATTTGCCATAGTAATGGACTTTTATACAAACTTAAATCATTGAGGTAGGAAGCTAGATTTTAAACATGCAAATATGTATACTAAACTAACACCAGTGTGCCCTGACTCAATAGGACAATCTAGAAAGGAAAATGTGTTTTTAATCAGGTCATATTTGATTTTCAAGAAAATTCAACTGTATTCCTATTGAAATACCTGAACGTCAATCTACTGCAGTAGTCATGAAAATAAGTAATTTGGTACAACATTTGATAACAAAGAACATGCATTCTAAATATAGTGGCAGTAATTTTAAACATGTGTCAAATAAAAATTGCTTGTTATGAAAACCAAAATAAAAAAATAATCATACTACTTTCATATAATTTTTATGGCATACGATCACATAAGTAAGCTGTATAGAAAACCTTAACCTGGCCGCATAATTATTTTAAAAGTTTAAAGGATACGTAGATCTCATTTTTCAGAAAATAAAAAAAGAGTAATTAATTAAAATGTCATCAGTTTGTACAGCTATAAATTATGAATAACATAAACTGTTTGCTATCCAAAGTAACAACAATTAATATGAACTAGTAACAATGTCATATAAACCTAATGAAGACACATCCATTATTAAATATTTAGTGAAGTTAAAATTATTTATCTAAGGCCATTTTTTTTTTAACTAGCCGTTTCAGTTCAGTTCTTAGAATTGAAAAGATTCACTTAACAGCATTGTTTTTTCCTTAACAACACGGATAACGGACCAATGAGGTTCGAGGATTTGAGAGAAAAGATGTAAAATTGTAATGCTTCGAACATCAACTAATCAGCTGTTTAGACCAATTTAATTGTTAATGAGTGGTGCAATAGCGTTTGGTACAATGATTCTTTGCATCACTGTCAGTGGCAATGAGAGGTTATAAATGAAAACATACCTCTCTTAGAAGTTATAAGTAGTGATTGTTAGTAATTAAAAACTGCTGTAGGTAAAGTAGTATACGCAACTCGCGTAAATAGTGAGCGACACTCGTAGAAGTTTTGAAGGCACTCACCAAGGCTCATACCTTAAAAGTTTCTACTTGTGTCGTAACGTGATTGTTGCGTAAACTACTATTACAGTTTATGAATACATCAAACGTTTCTTTGCTGTAAAGCGGTAATATGTTAGAATTACATTAAATCGTAGTTACAATTCAATTTATTACATGACCAAGTATACTTGATATTATCATCTGTTTCCATAAAATCTTTTGACTTTTGTTATGAATTGAATAATATAAAATTTACTACATGTAACTATGAGGTGTGTTTCCATTAAAAAATTGCATGTTTAAAATCAAGATTTTCTTTCTCAATGAGTTAACATAAATTTGTATGAAGGATAAAATAGAGGTGGTTTTTGGTTATAATATAGGAGGACCTACTAAATTAACTTGATATTTACACTTTAGCACTGAGATTATGAAATGGAAAAATTACAACCTGTATTCCAAATTATATTTTGAAATGAAATAAACTTAGTACGAGGCACTCTTATCAGGAAATGGTGCTTCATAGAGTCGTGCGCCACAAGAATCCAGGTTATAACATTCAGCGTGGATTCCAATCATTCAAATTCATTCCTTAAGGCACTTCATAATATTTGAGTAATTAATTGTTAATTTAAATTAGGAATAATTAAAAAGGAAGTTTTTAAGTAATTACGAAGTTAACTTTTTTTCAAACAGTAAACCTGGATAGTTGTGACACTCGACTTTTGATTTAGATCATTTGTATCAGTTTAATCTAAAATATAAACTAAGAGGTATTACAAAGCAAAAACATTTGCTTAATAAATTGTGTTGATAGATAACTTTATCATTGGATAATTCAACCTTAGGATCTTAGTGACTCTTAGAAATTGCATATATATTATGTTGCACTTTAATTGTGCATTGTGTTCAAGGTTTGTATTATTTATTGTCACTACAACATTTATTATGTAAAAAATCTATTACCATGAGACTAAAAGAGATATCCTTAAACAAATAATACAAATAAAGATAATTTACAGTAGGCCTAACATATTTATGTTATGTAAAGCTGCTCGGTAAAGAAACTTTGGATAGTAATAACGCAAGGAGCGCTTCATTAATTTACAACAGAAACATCTGTCAAGAGTAATTTCCCTTATGCAGAAATTAATTATGTATATCAGAAAAACATTTATAATAATGTATGTTTGCATCCATGTTATAGAAATTTTCAGAAATTTCAGTTTAATACTTTTATGGAAAGAATTCCAAGCTAACTTTGTGGATATGCCAGGTAAGAAACTCATCACTTTCACATCAAACATTAGGAAGCGTAAGGTGTCTTAATTTTGAGAAATGTTTATCTTTGTAGTTCAATCAGCACTATTTAGGAATCTCAGATTACTTTTTAAATATTTTCTCCGCATCTTAATTTTAAACCAATTCTTGAAAGACAATTTGTAAATTCTACTCTAATGATTATATACAAGGAAAGGGTCTAGCAATTTATTATTTTTGAGGAGTACGAATTATTACATCCTAAAATTCCAAGCAATCAATTGATGTAGCTGATAAAAATGAGTAAAATTTGGTCAATGACAGTTGAATCACAGAAAACATACTACTATAACCCAAATTGGCATTCTGGGTTATAGTAGTATATTTTCTGTGGTTGAATGGACTATAAATATGTTTTGAATATTGAGTTTGGCTCCGTACATGCAAAATAAGCTATGAGTGACAATCCTAGACTGTATTTATTGCTGCTCTCATGACTTTAAACTGCAGCGTGGCAGACAAATACTCACAATTTAATACTAAGATTGGATTATCCAAAGAAAAAAATCACAGGGTTGTTATTCTAAAGCCATAGCGATTTAAAAACATAAAAATATATATTACCTTGACTAAATAAATACTTCTGCACTGAACGGATGCAACACTTACGAAAAGGGTAAAACTTATCGCCAAAACACAATCACGGTTGACTGTATGAAAATGATGTAATGTATATAGTTCACTCACGGAGGAGAAGACAATAACTAACACTTCCTATTACACATAATAGACCGCAGCACTTGAAAACTTGTCCGAATAAATCTAAAATGTACAATATAATGTTCAACTGTGACTGGTGAAGAGAAGAATAAGAAGTCACCTGACCCACATCACAAGGAATATCACAGTCTAGTCCAGGTCGAGATCAGGTGACGACGTTTGTCAGCAGGTCGAAGTCTCCTCTCCCTCGAGGGTACATGCGACATTCTCCAGCTTGTGAGCAAGATGCTGCTTTTTACAGATAGGATCACTGTCCAAGCATTCCAAAATCTGAAACAGTTACGTCTTTAATAGAAAAAGTATTCTTGTCAATTGGTTGTCACAATTTTGGTTCTCATTTGTATTTTTAAGTTTTATATTTATTAGTAATTTATTTACTAATAAATATAATATTTTCAAGCAACAGAAAACAAACAACAAAATTTGAAATAAAAAATTGACGTAAAAACATTTTTAGAAATTTTAAACATTTTTTAAGAGGTTAGTCTTTCAATCTAGAACTTACCCGTCAAACATGGCAAGGGGTGAGCCACTACAGTGCTAGAATGTACTGTGATGGTAATTTTACTAATCATAGACATCGCCATCATGGGTTTTGTCACATTACCACCTGAGCCACTCAGCATACCTTATAACTTATAACCTTATTACAAAAATGTTAACCTCGTGGTTTTATTTATGTTTTACAAAAACAGAAATTTATAGTCAAGTAGGCTACAACTAGATAAATAGAATGGATTGTATAATTTGACTAGATGTGTCTTTTACATAAATTTAATCCAGGATGAAAACATAACATTTACAGTAGACTCTCAGTAATCCGGCAGATATAGGACCGCCATACTGCCGGATTAGTGAAAATGCCGGATTACTGGAATGTTATCATTAAAAACACTTAAAATGCAATTAAAACACTTCTCCGAAGTTTGCGTGATCGGAAACCGCTATTGCCGCGATCGGGCATGACGATTACGTATTTGCGGGAGGCGATGATAACGTCTACACGTCCGCGGGAGATAATCGTAAAATTTCCGCCATCGCGCATGACGACGATGACGTTTTCGTGACCGCGGGAGGCGATGATAACGTCTATACGTCTGCTGGCGATGTTCGTAATTTTGCCTCGATCGTGCTTGACGACGATGACGTTTCCGTGACCGCGGGAGGCGATGATAACGTCTATACGTCCGCTGGCGATGTTCGTGATTTTGCCGCGATCGTGCTTGACGACGATGACGTTTCCGTGACCGCGGAGGCGATGATAACGTCTATACATCCGCTGGCGATGTTCGTGATTTTGCCGCGATCGTGCTTGACGACGATGACGTTTCCGTGACCGCGGGAGGCGATGATAACGTCTATACGTCTGCTGGCGATGTTCATGAATTTGCCGCAATCGCGCATGACGACGATGACTTTTCCGTGACCGCGGGAGATGTTAATGATTTTGCCACGATCGCGCAAGACGACGATGACGTTTTTATGACCACGTGAGAGAATTATGATGTCTACACGGCCGCGGGAGATAATCAGAATTTTGCCGCGATCGCGGAAGACCTCCCGTCAAAAGACGCCGGATTACTGGAGTGCTGGAGTGGTGCAGTGTCGGATTAGAGAGGTTCTACTGTATTTAAATAATTTTGCACTGCAAAAAGCTTTCATTGGTTCGATGAACAAATGTTTTATTATGGTTTGGACATAACAACTCATTAATGCATACTTACTTGTTCGCTATATTTAGTAACATATATGTACAGTTCTTTGAGGGCAGAGATTGTGTGGAAATGGCCAGCCTGAGAGATGGAAAGATGTTGCATAGCAGTGCTCAACTCTTGATCTGTGATCTGAGGCAGCATGGCCACATCCATGTAAAACCTGCAATAAAACTCCCTCATCATGTGTGCAAGTAATGCTTGGAACAGTGGACTCAGTAACAGATAAGACGAATAGATGATACAAGAAAATGTTGGGTAACAAACAATGTGAACCATTGTAAAAAATATTAAAAATTACATTTGAAAACATTCCAAATTCACCTTTAGTGGCTAATCAATTGTTTAGTTTTGAAGCCATAATCAAATTTAAAAAAATAATCAACAGGGTGTCCCCAAAACTGACTTTAAAATTCCCATATTTTCCTGCAGGTAATTTAAGAATTCCTAGATCATTCCCTTCTACTTAATTTAATGCTTATTACTTATGTAGGGAAATATAAGACTATCTATGAGGAGGTAATGGTGTAAAACACAATTAGAATTACCGTTTTGATATTCAGCATTTAACAATAAACCTATGATGGATATTGACTAACAGGCAGCGATGTGATTGGAATCCACAATTAAATGGGCGTATTATCACGCCGGCGCTGGCAACGCTCAAGGCTGTTAGAGACGGTTGTTTAAGACACCGCATTCACGCTTGACGACAAGCGATGACCTGGACGGTACTGCTTAAAATGCCCACAGCTGCCACTCTATCAAATCTTTTGTTATCACTTACGCACACTTTTACCGTGTATCCAGTTTTCTTTTCAGCTTGCTAATGATTTGTACAGAGATTGCACTCGTTACTTAAGTAGGCCTATTAAATTAAGACAAAGTTTCTGTTTCCTCTTTAAAAGCACTCCAGGAACTGCAAAAAATATACCTTGCAAATTGGAAAATTTGTTTAAAGATACTAAACAAACACACAAACAAAATAACATATTTGACAGATAGCTGTGAGCATAACGAGCAACACCGTTTTAAGCAACCTTAGTAGTAGGGAAAAGCCGGTTCTGGATCAACCCCGACAGACCAGGGATTCTCATCTGTTTACTCTTCCACTCGTGAAAAGCCGTTTCTGGACCAGCCCCCCAACAGACCAGAGATTTTCCCATTTTCAAGCTCGGCTGGTAGTAGTATATATATGTGTATCCTACTCCCGGAGTTTATATGGCCTCTTATGGGAATACCTCCCCACACCCTGGCTATCGTTCGTGAAGAGGCTAGTCCTCTTCATGCCCTTGGTTGCTTCTTCCAGTATTATAAGAGAACGTGTATCGAAAAAGCACTGCTGCTTCTCATCCCTTTTTTGTGTATGCCCAGACTCTATATAGGACAACACTCGCCCGTGAAAATGGATGATGTGTATTTGGAAGCATGCCAGTCCATGGACAGCAATACTTCGTTTTCCAACGCCTCTTCAGAAAACGCAGTTTTCACTGCGACCCCAGAAAGCGTGGTTTTCACCGCGACACCTGAAAGCGTGGTTTTCACCGCGACCCCAGAAAGCATGGTTATCACCGTGTCACCTCTGCCTGTCGATTCGGATGACGACGTGAGATCGTTTGAGCTCACCGACGAGGAAGCCGGTTCCGACGTTTCTCCGATAGTCGGTTCTAGCTTACCCGTTGACACTAAGGTGCAGTGTCCAATCTGCGGTGTACGTGTATCGAAGCCCTACTTAGGAAGACACAAGAAAACCAAGAAATGCTCTAACACCGCAAGCGCACAAGAGACAAGAGCTGATATGGTGGTTGTTCAAGCTACTCCTCAAGAGAAGAGTTCACGTTACAGTGTGAAGGTAGCTTGTGACCGATGTGGAGATAGTGTGTCTGTTGCGAATCTTAAACGACATCAAAAGTCAAAGAAATGTCTAGCTGCAACACAAGCTAGTGAGCCGGCTTTGGTACCTGACGTTGCCACGGAACCCCGACGTCTGTCTAAGATTGAGTGTGATACTTGTGGTAAGCTTGTTACAACTTCGAACTTGGCCCGACATCAGAAATCAAAACGATGCCGTCCACCTGTGGATGTTCGCGAAAGCACTGCCCCAAAAATGAAGGCATGTTTGCTATGTGGAGTGTCTATGCTACCGGTTCAATGGAAGCATCATAAACTGTCGGATCGTCATATTAGCATGCTGAGACAAACCCAAAATATGGCAGGTGTGAGTTCCAGAAATGTTGTATCGATTGCTCCACCTATAAACAATCAACATGCTGTACCTTCCACGAGTGGTGAACCCGTGAAACAATATGTGTATCCTCGAGCTAGTTCAACCGATGTGGAGGTGTGTAGGATTTGTATCAAACCTGTAAAAGTGTCAGAATGGTCTCAGCATTCCAAACACCATCTTCGTCCTGAAAAGCCTCAAAAGTCTAGTTTGGATATTAGGCGATTGGTCAAAAGATATCCGAAGGTTAAAAGGAGTGTTAATGTTCCACACCCAAGTATGGACAATGTTGATCTGAATGCTATGGTGAGAAAACCTACTAGACCTCAAAGACCTGATAAATTCCTTCGTACGACCCTTCAGAGCCCACTCCCATCAACATCAGCTGATGTTCCAAATGTTGTGGAGGAAATTACACATCAAAATCTCATTGATGCATTGGATGACATTCTAAAATACACTGATTTTGTGACAGACGAACAGTTTGCAGAAGCTATTGAGGATTTTGATTTTGGAATGATTGATGAACCACACTCTGTTTTGAAGAAACCCCGTAGACCTTCTCTTAAGCTCATTATTCCTTCTCCTTCAGAGCTGAATATACCAAACAGTCCTGTTTATCGATCTCCACTCCATATTCCTGACAGCCCATCTTATAATCCACTATCACCATTTACCTTTGGGAGTAATCCTCCTGGACTAACCCTTGGGGAAACGTCTGAAAGTTCGATTGATTTGGTTGCTCCCCCACCATCTCCAATTAGCCCACTACCACCAACACCGGAAGTTGGTGTAGAGCATGATACTAATGGTGAGGCTGATCAGACACAAGAAGATAACAACGCAGGTGATGATGACAGCGGGTCATTGGAGGTAAGACAAATTGAGACAGCATTCAAGTCAAGACTCAGAACTTTTGTTATCGACAACAAGACTAATGTCAAGGATCCAACATTGTTTTTGAACATGTGCACGAATTTGGTTGAAGAAAAAATTGAAGAAATGGTCGTGGAAAGCAATATAAAAGTCAACTTTGTCTTTCATGCTGAATTTCAGAGAGTAGCTCAAGACAAGAAAATAAAACAACTAATGAATTTCAAGACTACTAATAAAATTGTGTATCCAACAACGGACATCTCTGAATATTACAATGATGCAAAGGCAAAGATACTTGCAGAGATTGAAGACTTCCAAGCAACTGGCTCTAATTGGACTTTGATGAAGGTCATTGATTTGGAAATCAGAGTAAATAAATACACACCTCTTAAGGGCTCTAGTTACATGAAACTTCCAAAGAAGATAGAATCCAAGAAAGCAGTGATAAACATAAATAATAATGATCAGAAATGTTTCCTGTGGTCTATCCTTGCAGCTTTACACCCCGCGAAGGATAATGTTAATAGAGTGAGTATGTATAGAGCTTATGAACATGAACTTGATGATGTTTTCAAAGACATTGAGTTTCCCATGAAATTAGATGACATTACAAAGTTTGAAAAACGTGCCAATATCTCTGTCAATGTTTACACTCTCCACGGTATCGAAAATTCAGTTGTTCCTCTCAGAATCACTAACGAGGAGATGGAAAGACACGTAGACCTGCTCTACTTGAAGTCTGCAGACACAAACCATTATTGTTACATAAAGAATCTATCTAGACTTGTACAATCACAGATATCAAAACATGATCATATGTTATGGTTGTGTAAACGTTGTCTGTTACACTTTGGATCAAAAGAAGGTTTGGACAGACATAGAGAGGATTGCAGCAGACATGAAAGTATAAAAATAAATCTTCCAGAAGAAGGGACGGTCATCAAATTTAATGATTTCAACAAGTCAATGCGAGTCCCGTTCGTGGTGTATGCAGACTTTGAATGTCTTCTTGAGTCCAACAGAACCATCAAAACTGAACAAACACAAAGCTACCAAAAACACTTGGCTATGAGTTTTGCATATTACATAGTTTCCAAAGATGGAGACTATAAACCTCCTGTCACATACTTTGGTGCAGATGCTGGAAGGGTCTTTGTGGAACAACTTGAGATGGAGTCTGAAAAAATAAAGCATTTGTATTCTAGTGAGGCTATCAAACCTATGGATTTAACGGTAGATGACCAGCGTATTATATCAAACTCAACAACATGCCATATTTGTGAAAAACCTTTAGAAGATGATAGGGTCCTTGATCATGACCATTTGACAGGACAATTCAGAGGAGTTGCACACAACAAATGCACCATTCTGTACAGGAAACCCAAGTTTATTCCTGTCTTCATTCACAACCTCTCTGGCTACGACACACATTTGTTTATTAAAATGCTGGGTATGAATGATGAGGAAATAGAAGTGATACCAAACAATGAAGAACGTTACATATCATACACAGTTAAAAGGCAGAACATGATCGAACTGAGGTTCTTGGATTCGTTCAAGTTTATGTCCAGTAGCCTTGATGCACTCACCAAAAACCTTCAGAAAGATCAGTTTACACATACTGCTAAATACTTCAATGAATCCGAGTTGAACCTGGTTTTGAGAAAAGGTATTTACCCATATGATTACATGGACAGTGAGGACAAATATGAGCTAACTCATCTACCTAAGCAGGAAGAATTCTACAACATACTCACTAAAACAGATGTTGACCCTAAAGATTATGAACATGCTAAAAGAGTGTGGGATTCATTTAAAATGAAGGATATGAAAGAATACACATTGATGTACAACAAATCAGATGTCCTCCTACTAGCTGATGTTATGGAGAACTTCCGAAATGTGTGTATGTCAACGTACAAACTAGATCCTGCATGGTTTTTCACAACACCTGGTCTTGCTTGGAGTGCTATGCTAAAAACCACAAACGTTGAACTGGAACTTATTTCAGATTATGATATGCTTCTTATGATTGAGAAGGGAATTAGAGGTGGTGTATCACA